TAACACATACATGGAGCTTCAATAATTTAAAATGAACACTTATGTACTCACCACCATGCTTAGAAGGCCCCTGTGTTTCTCCCTTTTTCTCCTTTTTTCCCTCAAGATGGAATTATATAATGATTTTATATCCGTTATTTGTTTCTTAAAATACTTTGTGTGTTTGTGTGTTCCTGAACAAAGTATTGTTTAGTTTTCCCTGTGGATTCTGATTTTTAAGCCACAATACAGAAGCAGATGTTTTGTAAGAAGGCGGGTGGCAGCATGTGCCCTCCATTCATTCTTCAATTTCTGGGTAGCAGGAAGGGGTGGAGGGTGCAGAGGGGATCAGCAAACCAGTGCTGCTAATGCAGTCTTTCCTGGGGCCAGCAGGTGGCAATGAGGTGGATAAAGAGGTTAGTGAGAATAGTAGTTGTACCCAAATGAGATGGGAGTTTCCAGAGTTTATGGATTTCTAAGTTCCATGTCCAGACCAAGATAAAAAATAAGTACCCTATGGGCCTGCACTGTGGCTTAGTGGGTAAAGCCACCGCCTGCAGTACCAGCATCCCATATGGGTGCCGGTTTGAGTCCCGGCTGCCCTTTTTCCGCATGGGAGACTGGGAAGAAGCTTCTGGCTTCTGGCATTGGATCAGCCCAGCTCCAACTATTGGAGCCATTTGGGGAGTGAACTAGCAGATGGAAGACTCTCACTCTCACTCTGCCTCTGCTTCTCTGTAACTCTGCCTTTCAAATAAATTAATTAATAAAAATACCCTATATTCCCACACTTAACTTTCAGAAACCTAAGTTTATAGCACGTGCCATTCAGGAGAGCTGGGTAGCAGGGGCACTGGACTGAGAGAAACTTGCTGTGACCTGGGTCCACTGATCTGCTGTCATCTAGCATGTGAGGTTCGACCCCTCGCATTGCCTGTGGCTTGCAAAGGATTTTGAGCAGTCTGAGTAACATAACTGGTTTTGTGACTAAGTTGTATGTGAGTGCTGAAATGCTTAGGCACTAATGTGCTGTGAGTATTTAACAGTTTCGCTTCCTGACCTGTTTTCCTTTTGCCCACAGTAACACCTTACGAGTTACCCGTTCTGCTGCACCCAGCACACTGGACAGTTCCAGCACTGCCCCTGCTCAACTGGGAAAGAAAGGCAAAGAATTTGAATTCTCGCAGTTGCCCCTCAAAGTGGAGTTCCTGGAGTGTAGTGCCAAGGGTGGGAGAGGGGACCCCGGCTCCGCTGACATCCAGGACCTGGAGAAGTGGCTTGCTAAAATCGCCTGAGTGACAGCTCTGAAGCACTGGTCGGGGTGGGGACCGTGTGAGTGACAGTTGGCTATGGTAGTCTGGAGTTGATAAAGAAGAGGTATAAAATGTGGCTGGAAACATTTCCTTGTTCTGGACACCAGTTCCCGCTGAAGCCTACCTGGAACTTTTCTTTCTCAAGTTCAGTCCTCCCTTTTGCTCCCTTTCAAACAAATGACTTCTGTTTAACTCTCACTGTTGGTAAGGTGTGTGCGACATCCCCTTAGTGAATGCTGGATGCAGGGTCAGTCTCTGTGACATAACAAGCAGGCCACATACAGGAAGGACACTGTCACTAGGGTCAGGGTTATCCCCGGAGACTTATTTGCTGCTTCTGCGCTTTGATCTTGTGCTTTCCCTGGAAGGAACCCTATTTATGATCAGTGGATTTCCACTTGCCCCTCATGTTTTGGGCAGTGCATCCTCTTGTCCCTTGTTCTCAGATTCATAGGTAGTCTAGTCTGCCCACGTGTGAAGACAGGTACAGAACAGCAGGGCTGGGCTGACAGGATGTTCATCAGCTCGGCGACTTGCCCGTGCTCCAGCCTCAGCACTCAGGAGCCCTTGGAGTCATTCCCAGGTGACAGAGCCGCAGATGCTAACTCCCCAGCTGCCAAGGGTCGAGTGTGTTCTAGTGTTGTTTGGGGCCGTGTGGAGACGTGGACCCTGTTCTGCTATGGGCTGCCTGCCTGTGCTGCTCCCTCAGCTCCTGTTTTGTACCCGTAGCTGGAATGCTGTGGAGCAGGTACAGCATGGGAAAGTTCTCTGCAGGTTTTCCAAGTATATATTCACTGATGCTTACCAAAAAAAAGTCTTTTTCAAAGTGATGTTCTTTGTTGTCTTCTTAAACACTGGACAGTTTTACTGCTCTTATAAATGATTAATAACCTTTTTTGCTAAATAAGCTGTCTGGCCCAATAAAACAATAAGATAGAATGGTATAGTAAGCACACTCGAGGTGGAGGGAGCGTGTATTAGGGTGCTAGACTAACCTGAGCCTCAAGATTGCAGTGGGTACAGGAAGAGCTGCTGCTGTCCCTGCCTCTCGTGCCTCTCAGGGAAAGCTTACCCGGAGACGGGGGTGCTGTGCTGAGAAACCCATCACGGAACAGTGCAGTGAGAGCCCTGGGTCCCGCAGCAGTGGCCCCTAGCCCGGCATTGAGGGATCGGGAGAGGCGATGGACAGAAGCGTGGGCCCATGCCTCTTCTGCCTCACACGTCCCTGTGTGGGGGTCGCCAGGGCTCTGATAGCCCACATACTCAGGCTGTTAATTCTGGCAGATGTACTTCAGGCTCCTGCCCCTGAAGCACGCATCAGCCTAGCAGAGCATGAAATAAATGCAGTGTGTGATGGAAAAGTCATTAGACCTTGACTGTCCGAGTTCCCATTTGAAGGCCACGCTGATGCTAGCGTTTCTGGCTCTCCTTACTAGCCCAGCAGTAACTTCTGGAAGTGGGTGAGCACGGTGAACCAGGAATCAGGACTGTGATGAGTGTGTGACATAGTCGCGTGATCATAGTAGGTGCTTATGTGAATAAGTCCATGGTTTCTGTTATGAGGCATGGGTTCTCTCAGCCTCAGGTTTTTGTTTTGTTTTGTTTTGTTTCTGTTTCTAAAGAGTTCCTTTATTGAAGAAAGTGTACCAAAAAGGTGAGTGATGGAAAGGTTGAATTTTATTCTAGGCCTAATGACAGTCTCCTGAAAAAGGAGAGGTATGTCTAGAACAGATTCCCAAACATTAGTGGCACCAGAATCGCCTGTGGTGTAGGCCGATGTGAGGCCCTGCTCCTGGACGTTGTGATACAACAGCAGTTCTGGATGGTCTCAGGACTCTGCCTGCTCAGCAAGCGTTAACAGTCCCCTGCAATTCCTGGGGTGCCCCAGAGGCAGCTGTAAGTCTTGGCCTTCAAGTCCTGTCAGCTTTCTAGTAAGGCCAAGCGTGCATGCAGGTTAGAGAGTACCTCCTGGGGCCTCATCCCGCTTGTACCCCTGTGCTGCAGGAGTGGATTTGGGCCCAGATCAGCCCAGATGATCAGTCCTTGGGAACTGGGAAGGGATTTGCCAGGTCAAAGTATATGCTTTGCTCAGCAGCGTCCTCTTGTGGCCATGCAACTTAAGTAGGTGCGTTTCTTCATGAGATGGGAGGCAAGTGTGACCAGGGTGGAGAGAGGGATGTCAGATCATGGGGACAGGCAGAGTGACACAATTGTGCGACACAGTTGTAGGTCACAATGAGACAGCTGTGGCCTGATACCTTGGCAGTGTCTGAGCCACCTCATGGATAAGCAGTAGGACATCAGCTGCTCTGCTGCACATCACCTCTAAGGGAGAGGTGCAGGCTGCAGCTGCAGTGAGCTGGGACAGGTGAGGCCCCTGTACTCCACTGGTGAGTGCATCTGCTGCCGGTGGAGTCTCCCAGTGAGCATGGATCATACACAGACTAAGAGGTAAAGGCACCAGCCGCCCAGTTCAGGCCTGGGCCTTGGTAACCTCTCCTCTACCAGGTGTGTGACCATTTGCTGGGAGCAGGGGTTCCTGGTTCCTGATCGACAAGCGCTGTTGGCGGCCTGCCGTTTCCTCCCATGGCCTCCGTCTCAGCACCTCCTAGGATTCCAAGGTCGCCTGTGGTCCTGCCAGGTGCGAGGGACGTGGCCATGTTTTACTCATTTTGTTCTGGCTGGCATGTGCTTCCCCTGCCCCAGCCCCGTGACCAGTGATGAGGAGAGCCTCCCTGAGCAGCGTCTCCCGGTGCTGTGCCGTGTCCTTCAGGCAGGACATTCCTTGCAGCTCTCATCTTCAGTCACGTCCGGGGAAGCCCAGCAGTGCTTCCTGGCGAGGGCGAGGGCGAGGGCGAGGGCTGCTGGACAGCTGTGTCAGCACTGGCCCCAGTGAGCATGCACCGCCTCTGTGTTCGTGTAGCCGTGCCTGTGAGCAGCCTCCTTGTGGCTCTCAGCCCCCTCCCCGCTGCTGCTCCCTCGCCCATTTCACACCTAGCAGCCTTGACAAGTACAGCTTAGTGGGCAGGGTCACCTGTTTCCCCTCCCTTCTAACCAGAGATGGCTTCCTTGGCAGTGGCACATGGGAGGGTGTGCTGGAACCTTGTCAAGGGGAGAGGTGAAGGTGAAGTGGGGCTTGAAAAACGAGGTTCCCCTGCATCCTCAAACCCGGGCAATTTTGGAGCCTGATCCCAACCTTTATGTCCTTTTTGGATTGGTCCTGGAAATGTCCACACTTCCAGACCATTGTTTAGCTTGGAGACTGCTGAGACCTGAAGAGGCCCCTCGGGACCTTCCCTGTCTGGTGTGGGGTGAAGTTGGAGGTGGCTGCTCGTGTCATCTAGCAGGTGATGCTGCTTCCCCTTAAATGCTTGCCTTTAAATGGCTTTCTGGCAACATCAGGAGCAGAGATCTAGTCCCAGGCCAGACGTGAGTAGAGTGTGGGGGATGATGGGAAGTCACACGCCTGAGTCTGAGTTTGCATCAGTCTTGGGGCAGAGTGGAAATGATGGGAACACAGGTGCATGTAATCTCAGGTGTCCCATCTTGCCCCCTGCAGAGCTGGTGATGAGCCCAGGCGAGGAGGCAGTTAGAGGGCAGACCACCCAGGCACAGGAAGAGGGGCCTTGTGCAGCAGGCAGTTGAGCAAACCTGCTTTTGAGCCCCCATTTGTGACGGTCCCACTGAGACACTGGACGAGGAGCCATGTTGAGAATTAGGACAGTTTATTGTCTGACCAACATGCTGAGTCTCTCCACAGTTTACACAGTTTAATGTAAAGTCAATGGCCGCCGTGCCGCCTGAGCCCAGACAAGGTAGACGTGGCGTGCTGTGTGCTCCCTGTGAGCACACGGGAGCGTGGGGGCAAAGTAACACACCACAAGGTGCAGGCTGACCCACCATGCTGGGAACACTCCCACCACCACCTCCTGAAGAAGCCACCCGAGCACCACTGCACTGCAGGGATTTCTTGTCCAACCACTCACTATGCCCCAAGCATCAGCCAGACCATGGCCTGCAGTTGAGGGAGATGCCAAGGCCTGGGAATACCTACAGAGCCGACTGCAAACAAAGTCCGAAGGGCACCCGGCCTGGGTGGTGCTCAAGACAGTAGACCTGGGTCTGGCTGTTCTCTGCAGGGCAGGAGCCCACACACACCCACGTGCTCTCCAGGCTCGCTCACCCAGACACTGGGGAGAGAGGAGCTTCGTCCTAACCACAGGAGAGACGGCCTGAGGGCAGAGACCGTACACAGAGGTCCTTCCTTCCATGTAAACGTGCCGTCACATCTGCACACACACAGGCCGGCAGTGGACAGAAGACAGCAGTGCCTGGCTTCTGCCCACTCCTAACTTACGGGTGATCACAAGCCAGGCACCCTCCTCTGTCTTGGTTTTGCTGTCTTCCTCACCTTGCTATAGCAGGATGGCGAGGCCCCAGGTTCTTTGGCGGGGAGGTAGTTGGGGCACTAATGAGCATACGGCCTTGCCAGCAGATCAACCACGCTTCTGGGAGCTGCTGCAGCCCTCAGCTCCCTGGCCTGGCCTCAGGTCCTAACTCCCTCAGTGTGCCACGTCATCACACCTGGTGCTAGCTAGCCCCCCAGTGGGCGGGTGTGCCTGCCCTCCTGGCTGCCACCACTTCAGTCCCCATCACTGGGTCAGTCTGCTCAGTGACTCGCTGTTCTCAGAGCCGGGGGCACTGCAGGATGTTGAAGGGTGATGGCACGAGAGAGAGAATGGAGACGGCAACAGCGGGGAGCAGGGCGTGGGGGAGTGGACTCTGACCCAAGGAAACTGTTGCCTGGAACCAGCAGGCATGTGAACTTGGCCCCTACAACTGCAGCCAGAACACACAAGATGCCAATGTCACACCCATCACACCTTCATTTTGGGGCTCATTCCTTCTTCACTCCGCTTCTCTGGTGCCTGTGGAACAGGAGCTTCTCTGAGGGCCCAGAAAAGAGGATCATGATTGGCTGCTAGGCTTCCTGCTCCACTTGCTAAACTGAGATCATTTCCTCCAAGGACTCCTCACTGGCCTCTGCTAACCCTCCTGGACTCCGCCAAGATGCAAGACCCTCGCTGGTGATGCACAGCCAGTTCCACGACACCCCTACTGCTGCGAGAGAACCAGGCCCATGGCTTACTGAACCGTAACTCAGAGTCCAGATGCTACCCATGAGCAATGGCATCTGCTCAAGACAGGCGTCCAGGACCCAGGACACACCCGTGGAACTGCTCTGGCTGCTTGAACAGACCCCAGGCAGGGTGGGGAGGCACACAAGGGCACGGCACTGCCAAGATGGAGGACAAGAGGAGGCAACACCCTCGCCCTCAGAGGCCATGGGGCTGGGCAGAGCCTGGACTCCAGAGTGTGTGCAAGGGAAGGCAGGACTCCCCAAGGCCAACTCAGGCCAGGTGACAGCTGCCATGGCTCCTACTGCTCCTCTGAGCCATGGTGGGCAAGAAAGAAGTCTATAAATCAGCCTACTTGGATTTACACATGTTTTAAAGAGGAGGTACCCACACATTCATTTACTGAGCTCCCCAGAGGCCAAGCAGGCCGGACACTGCAAATAGACTCCCATAAATTCTCGCGGGGGAAGTAAACCCTCTTCCAACAAGCACCAGTGTGGGGGTGTGCGTGCCCGCAGTGGGGGGCACAGGCACGCACACCTGTGCACGTAAGTAGGTAGAGAGATGGTGGCGCCATTCCCGAGGGCTACTGCTGCCTGCACGTCACCACATCTATGTGTCATTTTATTGATGGCAAGACAATCACAAGTTATTTGACAATATTAAGAATTTCTGATTTCAACACGTTGCAGTACTTTTGAATTTCCAAAACTGTTATCACAAGGCAAGTTCCAACTTGAGAGCAGGAGAAACAAGAATCTACATGGAGCACGCGAATCCGTGAGGCTGTGACTGTGGAAGGCGTATACACAGGTCTATCTCTATATATAATTATGTACACACATAGAAAAACTAAACACACAACACTGAATTACGTTCGTACGTTGCCCCCCGCCTTCTGCAAGAGGTGCTTGTGGACTCTCGTCATCGCCAGAAGGTCGACTCCGTGTAAGGTCAGCGCTGACACGTGGTGGCCCAGGCTGATGCGGGCCCAGGGCGACAGACATTCCGGCCCCTGACCATCGGGGGGCAGTTTCTGAGCCATTGCAGCCACCTTGTTGGAGTCCTCCTGCCTTGTGGAGGAATTCACCCTGCCACAGGCACTGGCCCATCTGTGACATGTCCATCAGCAGCCAGGGGGGAGAGCGGATGCCAGTGGGGAGGGGTGGGATGCTTGGGCCACAGCCACCGCCCACTGCTGGGCTTGAGTCTGGCTCAGTTTGGAATGCTGACCAAGTGTGTTACGTTACTTACTGTGAACAGAGGATTCTCTGCAGGGGTCGGTTAACGATGGCAACGGGACCTCTCTGCAGATCCCAGCACTCTGGGCAGCCTTCTAGAGACCCCACCTTAACCTACCCTCAGGTGCCCACCGACCAGGCCATGGTATTCACAGAGGCACGTGCAAAGACTTCAACTGTGCCAGGTCTGTGGGGTGAATGCACGGGGGGAACTGGTCTTTCTAGAACCAGACCCAGCCATACAAGCAAGTGAGGGTCTGAGAGCAGGCAGCCGCCCTGCCCCCAGTCACAGGTGGGCCAGTGCTGCTTCCCCGACTTCCACACGGGTGGCATGCCACCCAGCGTCACACACTGAGCTTCTGAGATCCAGCCCAGCTGTCTGCGCTGGCTGAAACACCTCGCAACTCCACGGGGCTCCCCAGGCTACAGACCACAAATCACCACAGCCCACAGTAGCCAACAGCACCCCGTCCTTCCAGTGACCTCTCACTCTGCTGGGCACTGGGCGAGCAGAGAGCACAGGCTCCTGGTGCCCTTGACCTCCTACAAGGCTTTTCCAGGCAGAAGCTGCTCCCCTGTGGCTGCTGCTGGGCCCTCGCAGTCCACAAGGCCGTCCCGCCAGCTCAGGGCCATGCTGATGTCCTGCTCTGGCCGTGGGGGGGCAGAGTCAGGGCTGCCCCTTCAGAGGCGCCAGTTCAGCCTGTGTTTGATTTCTCCACGGAGGGCCTTGCGTGGGGAGCCCCAGGCTGGAGCCTAGTGACTCATTCGTTTAAATGGACTGGGCTGGGGGTGGGAGGAAGGCAGGGGTGCTGCACGGTTCAAAGAGATCAGGAAGGAGGAGGTATGTGGAAAAGGATCTCTGTAAGTTTACAAATATACAAAAACAAAAAGCACATCTTTCAAATAAAAATGACTACATTTCTTTTATCTGGCAAAAAGTTGTATACACATGATTTAAATTTTTTTTTAATTTTAACAGTTTTTGGCAATCTTAATAAAGTACAATATATTACAACCAAACCAAAAAATAGTTGTTTAAGTAACAGCTGTTAAGAGTGACGTGATCCCTGACGCCCAGCCTCCCGCCCCTTCCCACCCTACTCCTAGAGACAGAGAGAAAAGAAAGATCCTCCCATCTTGAGAGACTCATTTCCCACCCCCCTTAGGAAGCTAACCAATAGGAAGCAACACAACAAGCGCGTAGTGTCAGAGGGAGCCGGGGCGCCCGCCCCGCATTAGCAGGAACAGCCGCCCTCGCTGGCCGGGGGCTCCTGCGGTTTGTCCAGCTTGATGTCGATCACTGCGGGGGCGGGCTAAGGAAGACCACGCTCACAGATTTCAACATTTTCTGGCATCAAAATAAACTTACCTTTGAATTCCACTTCCACAGATTTTCTGAAGTGGCTTTGTGCTATTTCTGTGGATATGTGTGTGCGGGCGTGTGCAAGGACAGACCCGCATGCTTTGTATGCCACGGCACAGTATAAATAAATAAGCAAGTAAGATACACAAGTGCCTTCCCTACACCTTCCCGCTGGTCACCCTGTTCCTTCTACTCAAGCAAACCCACCACCAGGAGTGCCCCTGCTGTGGTGCTGTGGCCCCACTGGTGGTGCCCGCAGCCCCAGTCCTCTGCACAGCCGGACCTGGTCTTCCCCACGTGCCCCTCTGAGCCTGCCCAGCCCTCTCTAGGCACAGTAGCTTCCCAAGGCCAGCGCTGGTGGCAGTCATGTCACACTCTGGGACAGAGACCGAGCATCTGCACATGTCGCACTCTGGCATTGAAGGCCTCCCCCAGTCAACTCCACCTCCCTCATACTCAGGCTCCCTTTCCCCGCTGCAAAGTGGGCAGAGTTCCGGCAGGACCGGTCCCTTCTGCAAAGCCTTTCCAGGCAGTGCTGAGCACCCACGCTGTGCCGGGTGCTGGGCATCTCAACCCTGTGCAGCGGCGAGTGAAGCACCTGTCTTCTGGCTGGGAGGCCCAGACGGCTGGGTACAGACCCAAGGCGTTTAAATGACCTGTTCTGCTACGTCCCTCTTGCTCTGGGTTCTCAACCTCAACACTAGTGGTGTTTGGGGCTGGATAGGGGTCTCTGTGCTGGGGGCTGTTCCCTGTACAGAGGGTGCTTAGCTGCATTCCTGACCTGCAGCCACCAGATGCCACCAACAACCCCACCCCCAACTCCTGAGCACAGTATCCATTCCAGAGCCACCACCCGTCCAGCTAGAAGCATGACCACTGTCACAGCACATCACACTCGATCCTGAAGCGACGGGACTTCTTAAAAACCTCAAGGGAACAAGACCCAGACTGCTTTGGATACCATGCAGCAGTCCTCAAGCGGACGGAGCAAAAGCGCCAGGAAACCTGTTAAAAATACAGCTCCCGGACCCAGCCTCAGTAGACCCAGGGATGGCCCGGATGTGTAGCTTAGCAAGTTCTCTGGGAGGTTCCCAGTGCAGACTCCCGGGAGCCCTATTCCACCAATATTTCCAGAACAGCACTGTCCCAAAGGAGCAAAGTGTTCCACAGCAACATGGTAGCCATTGGCAACGCAGACGCCCGGGCACTGGAAACGAGGCCCCCGCAAGGCAGGGACTGAACATGAACTGCATTTCATTGCAACTATAAACAGCCACAGGTGGTTACCGTATTGGGCACAGGCCTGGGTCACCTGCTGAGAGCTTCCACCCATACCCTCCCAGCTGGTGCCTTCTCCCATGCACGGCTCCCTGCAATGCACAGGGCTGCTGCTGAGTGGCGAGATGGGGACATGCTGGAGGATCCGCATCCACACAGCACCCTGGAGGGGGACACTCGCTGTGGATGCTCCCCACAAGCCTCCAGAGACTCCATGTGTGCCTGTCCGCAGGGTGCACCTGCCTGCCTGTCCTCTCTGGTGCAGGTGTGGCCCATCAGAGTCCACACCCACAGCCGCACAGCTTGGACTCACTCCAGAGAGCTGGGTGTGCTGTGTGTGCTTCCCACTACTCCAGCGCCCCAGATTCAGCGGCAGCACAGGCCTCTCGGTGTCTGTTCCCATCTCTGACTTCACTGTCAGTTTCCTCCTCATGCAGACTGTGGGAGGCCATAGTGACAGCTCGGGCACTTGGGTTCCTGCCACCCCTATGGGAGACCTGGACTGAGCCCCGGACACTGCGAGCATTTAGGGAATGAACCAGTGGATAGGGTCTCTGTGCGACTTCCTCTCTCAAATAAATATCTATAGAGATTTTTTTGAATTTGGAAAGAAAAACACACAGGGCAGTCTGTTAGTGCAATGGCTGTGGGGCCTGGAGCTGCGTTTGACTACATCTCTGCCACGGCACCAGCTGGGAGGCCTTGCACATGCGTGGTCCTGTTTGGGGCATCACCAGCTTGGACCAGCTGGACCATTTCAAGAAGTGCTCAAGTTACTGCTGGCACCGTTGTGACTGCCAGCCCTGTTCAGAGAGGGCCCAGGGTCCCTGCGATACAGCCTATTGTGAATGGGCGGAAAGCAGGAGACAGGAGGCCCATGCAGCACATACAGTGAGGGGCCTGGGTTTCACCCTTTTGTGGCCCTCTGCCTCCCCCGCCCCACACTGCCCCTGGCTAGGAAAGCACAGGACAAGGCTGGCAGGCATGCAGCAGTGCTTCTTCTAGCCCTGAAATCAACAGACAAGCAAGATGGGGACATCAGGGCACACGGGCCAGGCCCTGAGCCCAGTGGGCGTGGCTAAGTGGGGAGTTTTCTTGCATTACCACCAAGCAGTGCTTCTGTGCTTTGCTCTTGAGAAGGAGCACGGTTCTGACCATGACTGCAAGTCTTCAAAACACCTGCATTTGACTGTCATTAAATATGAGCCCAGCGCCTCCCCCGCTGAGCTTCCAACCATTCCCTTCCAGGATCTCTGCTCCGGCACCTGCCTCGTCGGAGGCCCCAGCTGGGCAGTGTGAGAGGGTGGGGCTGCACCTGCTAAACAGGAGAACCCCACAGCTGACTTCGCCCTGTGCGGTCTGCTCTGTAAGGGGCAGAGTCAGACACCAGGCTCAGCGGGATGACGTGGGAGCTGTCACACCAGGCTCTGAGCCAGTCACTGCTCGCAGTGGCCAGGGCTCCGCCGTCTGCAGCCCTTTCCCCACTGGCAGCTGCGGCACAAGGTCCCCGCATCTCATCTGTCCTCCTCCCCCCTGGTCCTGCTATTCTCTGGACCTTGCAGGCTGTGTGTTCCTGGTACCTCACCAGAGCCCACTCTGCTACTGAGAGCCGGGATGTGCCCTGACCAAGCCCATGACCCTCGGTTTCCCCACTTGGAGTTGGAGTTTCATGACTGGCCGGCCAGGACATAGTCCTCAGACCTACTCCTCCAGGTCACTGGGCATCCTCTGGGGACACCTGCTACCCCGTTAGCTGTCCTGACCCAGTCTACTTTGAGAGCTCCTTGAGGAAGGCTGGAGGCGCCAACTCCCCTGCTGGCCTGTCTCAGGATTCCCCCTGCTGCAGCCATGAGGCTCCCCAGCACTGGGCACAGCAGGCAGGAGGAGAGGGACAGGCACAGCTGTGACGTCACTGCCTCCTCGCCTCCCACCACGGTGCTATCAGTTTCCTAGGCTTCAACACTCATCAGCCCAAAGGTGCTGTGCACTGTCTCCAGGGTCCATCTCTCATGGGTGTGGCCCCTCAGAGGCCCACGGGGATGCACGTGAGGTGCTGGGAAGCACGCTCTGCTCTGGAGTGTGCAGACCAGGAGCTGGCGTGGTGGCACAGCAGGTTACGCCACACCGCCTGACATGCTGCCATCCCCCGTCAGAGCACTGGATCCATCCTGGCTGCTCTGCTTCCAACGCAGCTCCCTGCTACTGCACCTGGGGAAGCAGCAGAGGATAGCCCAAGTACGTGGGCCCCTGCCATCTACGTGAGAGACGTGGATGGAGTTCCTGGCTTCCAACGCAGCTCCCTGCTAGTGCACCTGGGAAAGCAGCAGAAGATGGCCCAGGTACTTGGGCCCCTGCTATCTACGTCAGATGGAGTTCCTGGCTCCTGGCTTCAGACTAGCCCAGCCCTGGCCACCCCAACCATTTCCGGAGTGAACCCGCAGATGGAAGACCCTCCCCCCACCGTGTGTGTGTGTGTGTGTGTGTGTGTGTGTGTGTGTCTCCCTCTCTCATTGTAATTCTGTCTTTGAAACAAATAAAACAATTTTTTTTTTAAATGATGGCTGCAGGCCAGGGATATGAGCAGCCAGTGTCTGGGGGCTGACTTAGGCAGGGGCAGGGGACCAGGGCAGGGGAGACCCTCACTTATCCAAGCAGCTCTCAAGTACCCCTCTTTGAGGGGCAGTGTCCTGTGCAGAACAGGGCTGTGTAGGGACAGCAGGCCTGAGTGTGAAGTTGAAGTCTATATCTTGCACACTGCATGAACTGGGCAAACCAGAACCTTAACTTGGCAAGTGGTGTATGTGAGTTGTGGAGAGCTGCAGGGACCATGCAGGGCTGGGCACAGGGGGACGTCCCTGCTCCCACACCCAAGGTACACCCCAGCGGTCACTGCACAGATGGGCAGAACCACTGTTTCACACTCCCCAGCCACCCCTCCACTCGCGTACATCCCTGGAAGTCCCTGTGCCTTTCCGGAAGCCGCTGCAGAAACAGAGCAGGATGGCTCTCTGGCCACACGTGCCGGTCAGTGAAGGCTGGGCTGGGAAGCAGGCTCCTGCGCTGCCCTGGAGCGGCTCCTGCGGCACGCCTGTCGGCCCCTCGCCAGAAGAAAAGGATACTCCCTTCTTTGCTCTTCTCCTGGACACTCTCCATGCCGGGCAGAGCCGATGCCACACGTCGGAAGAGCTGGGGGGATGGAGACGCGAAGTGAGCCTTGGCGGGCCTTGCCCCTCCCCTCCCGCCCGCCCAGCTCACTGTACCCCAGAGGGCAGGGGTTGCCCGCCTGGCAGGTCTCAAGAGCATGTTTGGGCCGGTGCCGCGGCTCACTAGGCTAATCCTCCGCCTAGCAGCGCCGGCACACCGGGTTCTAGTCCCGCTAGGGGCACCGGATTCTGTCCCGGTTGCCCCTCTTCCAGGACAGCTCTCTGCTGTGGCCCGGGAGTTCAGTGGAGGATGGCCCAAGTACTTGGGCCCTGCACCCCATGGGAGACCAGGAGAAGCACCTGGCTCCTGCCATCAGATCAGCGCAGTGCGCTGGCCGCAGCGCGCCGGCTGCGGCGGCCATTGGAGGGTGAACCAATGGCAAAGGAAGACCTTTCTCTCTGTTTCTCTCTCTCACTGTCCACTCTGCCTGTCAAAAAAAAAAAAAAAAAAGCATGTTTGGGGCTTCCATCCAAGCAGGCTGCTCATAGGGATACAACAGTGAGCAGGGGATCTACCTGGTGCAGAGGCCAGGGAGGCCCGCAGGAAACAGACCCCAGGCAGGCTTCAGTGCACCGCCCTTGGGGGGACCACCTGGGAAACAGACTTCCCACTTTCCCACTTGCCTTGGAGCCCAACCACATCCTGTGGTGACACTTCTCGGAGGCCACGAGAGACATGGGGGTGCGAATGTGATATTGTGTGTTTGCGTGTGTGGTTATGTGTGAGTGCGGCACGTGCAGTGTACATGTGTGCTATCTGTGTGGAACGTGTGTATGGCTCTGGTGCCCTGGCAGCCCCACCCTGCCTGGCTGGCTGGCGAAAGGGACAAAGAGCCAGCTGGGAGGATGGCCCTGGGCGAGGAGGGTCCTGGTGAGCAGATCCGACCATGGCTGGAGCTCAGGGCTGTGCACCACAGGACAATGCCTTCTCTACCCTACAGCTGACTCATGCTCTCAACACAGCCTGGGTTCCAGGGCACCAGGGCAGGGGCCATCTGGGTCTCTCTGACCTGTCAGACTGCCTGCTGCTGCCCTCTGCCTGCCTGCTCACTAGGGGCCCCTGAGAGCAGAGCCCAGGCCCCTCTTAGGGCCTCCAGGCCAGCTCCCTCCTCTACAAGGCACCAGACATCCTTAGCCTGATGCTGCAGGGGGCTGGCAGAGCAGTGACCACAGCCTTGCCATAGGGCCTACAGCCAAGTGAACCCTGGGAGCTCGGGGGCCTCCCTAATGTCCCCACGGGGCACCTGTCACTCTGCGTCTTCCACTGCTTCTCCATCTGCCACCATCACAGTCTGCTGGGGTGAACCACTGCTGTACCCAGGGGGCCAACTGCTGCGCGGACAGCGTGTCCAGGACTTCCAGCCCACGCGGGGCATCAGAGACACCCATGCCACGTCACACCACACTCCTCGCTCAGCGTCCCATGCCACAGGCACCGCTGCTGCCATGACCTGGTTCTCACTGTCACACTCCTCATCCTCTGGCAGCCTGGCGAAGCCCACCGGCTCCCGAGTGTGCAGACTCAGGCACACGGGGCCCTGAAGGAGGCTGCTGAGTGCTGAAATAAATCTCGGACACATTTAAAGACACAAGCTGTGTCTTGGAACCTGTTCAGCAGCAATAATGAGCAGTCAGTCTCACAGCCACTGCCACACTGCTATGCTATGAAGTGGCAAGAAAACACTCGAATTCTCAGTGCGGAAGTCATGGGTACAGCCAACAGTCCCAGGTCTTGCTGCGTACACCCAGCACCAAGGGCAGTGCTGAAGACAGGCCAGCGGTTAGTGTAGACAAGGGAGAACTTTCCCAGCACAATCTGCTGACCTGCTGGGCTCCACCCGTGCACTGTTTGGAGCAGTGACCCAGAGTGTGCACCCTTGCTCCAAGGTTCAGCCCTAACCCCTCTGCCCCCAACCCAGGAGCGCCAGTCACTCCACGGGAGGGTACTTCTCCCCACACCTGCGTTGCCCTCCAGGTCCCCGGAGCACTTGGCAAGCACAACGGATGGACTCAAATGCTCATCACGTTGAATTTCCTGCATCCTTCGTCCCAAGTGAGCTTAGACATCAAGGATCGCTGCTTCCGGAAGCTGGTGGCTGGATCTTCTCACAGCCCGCCACCCTGGCCCACCAGGTGACTGCAGTGGCAAGTGACTCACAGTTCCCCAGCCAGCCCCTAGTGGGGAGCACTTCCTCCCTTCCTGGCCCCTGGAACCGGCGTGGGCCTCCGCGGCCAGGCACTCAGGGATCAGCACAGGGGAGGCCTTACCTGCTTCACGTTGTAGCCAGTCTTTGCACTGGTTTCAATGAACATGACGCTCAGTTCTTTGGCACGCTGCTCGCCTTCCTCGATGGTTATCTGCCTGGAGGGGAGGGCACAGGGGAAGTCAGCCCAACAGAGGAGCGGCCCCGACAGAGGCAGAGGGAGGAGCCCGAGATGAAAGGGGGCCACAGAGCAGGGCAAAGGAAGCTGCCCAGACCCCCGAGTCAGCCCTGCAGACATGCCCTGATCCCAGGGATCCCTCCCAGGACACCAGGGCATGGCAGAACTTAGCCCCTTTCTCTGCTCTTCCCACAGTGTCTTCTCAGCTTAGGATCAGGCCTCGGGCCAGGGTGGGGCTACCCCACAATGCCTTTCCCCTACAGTCATCACCAGCAACCTCTGCAAACAGCCAGGGCCACACAGCACCTCTCTGGGCGGGATTCTTATTCTCATTCTCCAAACGAGAACACTAAGGCTACATACTTAAAAAAAAAAAAAATTGGAGTTGAATATCCTGCAAGCTCCCATCCAGATTATTCCTTGAGATCAGGGGACCTCACAGGGACGCCCCCTGCCATGCTTTGCTGGAGCTCATGAGCTGTTGCTCCATCTGCCCCAAGCCAGAGCCCATGAGTGAGCAGACATATGCACTGGGACAGCCGTGGAGAATCTCTTCTAAGTCAGCTGCGTGCCCAGACGTGGCAGCCACACAGGCAGAGTGGGCAGCAGTGCAGGCTGCAGAGGGACCAGGGTGGTCACCTCCCACACACTGCGGCAGAGACACTGAGCACCAATGGCAACTACTGGGAGCCTAGGGGGCGCTTGGCCATGGCCACGGCATGACCTTGAATACACGTGGCCAGGCCAGGCACACAGGGCCCCGTGCAGACAGCTCAGTGCCCCACCTGCCATGCAGTTAGGACAGGGCTTCAGAGACGAGGCACCTGTGTTCTCACAGCTCCTGTACGTGCAGACAGGCTGGAAGCACAGACTCGCCCCGCCTGGGCCCATGCACCCCAGAACCCCTGGCCCAGCCCGAGCCTCGCGCCTCTGGCCCAGCACCCACCTCTTGTCAGCCAGGTCCGTCTTGTTGCCCACCAACATGATGATCACGTCACTGCCCCGCTCTGTCCGCACATCGTCGATCCACTTAGAGGTCTGTTGGAAGGAGTTGAGATCTGGAGGCAGAAAGCAGGGAGGGGGGACAAGTGCGAGTGAGAGCAGGAGGGAGGCTGCCAAGTGTCCTCAGACCGCCCCCTCCCCCCAGGGCTCTGCAGAGAGGGGACTGGGCCAGGGCAGCCCCGGCACTGCTCAGCTACCTTGTGGAATTCACTGTCATGATCTGCTCATCAGACACTGGCTCTGGGCGCTCGCCTGAGCGCAGATCTGCCTTTAGAGGCTCAGAGACAGAAAGCGAGAAATGAGTGCCCAGAACTTGGCTGAGCCTGGAAACAGGCAGTGGGAGGGGTGAGGAAGGAAACAGCACCCGCCCCTCCCCGGGCAGGAGGGCCCCACAGAGCAGCCTCCCCACCAAGGTGAGCCAGGCAGCTTGGGGTCTGATGAGAAACCTGGGGCTGCATGGGTGAGGGGAGGGGAAAGGGAAGCCCTCCACCCCCAGCAGGGGATGTGGACTGTCCTGGGAAGCCCCGCCTCCCTTCTGCTGGACATCAGGCCGGAAGAATCCAGGCCCTGGGGACCCAGCTCCCACCTGCACTCCATGGGGAGGGCTCCTGCCTGTGGCCAAGGGCAGGGTGGTGAGAGGGGCAGGCAGAGCAGAAGCAGCTGGCCCAAGCCTGCCTCCCTGTGGGACTCAGGCTCGGGGTGGTACCCAGGGTGTCCGCCCCACCTCAGGCCTGGTCTGTCACACTGGCCCGGGCAGCCAGGTCTCTGCTACAGCCCCTTTGAGGCTGCACAGTCCTTCGCAGAACACCTGCTTTGTCCAGAAGAGCCACAGTAGACCAGGTCCCCTGGGTGCAGCCTCCTAGGGCGCCCCGGGAGGAGCTGTAACACAGGTGACAAACCACGGCTGCTAGATCAGGGCTGGCCGGGGCTGACATCGCCCACCTTGACACATGTTCACAAGGCACGCTGTGGGGGCTTCCTGGCAGCCAGGGTGAGATGGGCACAGAGGGGCTACAGCAGGGCCAGCCCTGTGAGCACCTGCCTGTCCCCACACAGTCCCTGCCCTGAGCAGGCCCAAGCTGGCCCTGGACATGGGTACTTGTTGCAGAAGTGTGGGGGTCATGGAAAACACTGGTGGTGAAAGGCAACTCAACCCCCAAATTCCCTGGGCCACCTGTCTCCCTACATTTTGGCAGAAGCACATTTGTGAGCACACACTGCACATGCAGACTTGGCCAGGGGTACATGGGGGCCACCCTAGGTCAAGCACAGAGCCCCACTCACTTGTGATGTCATACACCACCACGGCCACGGTAGAGTCCCGGATGTAGCTGGGGATCAGGCTGCGGAACCTCTCCTGGCCAGCTGTGTCCCAGAGCTGCAGTCGCACCTGTTGTAGGGGCAGGGCCGTGGCATGAGCAGCTCCAGTCCCCGGGGTGGGCACAGGTGTCAGTGGTGCCCAGCTAGAGTCCCTTCCACCCTCCCAGGCCGGAAACCCAGCACTCACCGTGCGGTCCTCCAAGTACATGGTTTTCGACAAGAAGTCGATGCCTATGGTCGCCTGTTAGAGAGCAGCACAGAAAGGTCAAATGTCACGCAGAGGGGGCACGGCCAGCAAGAGGGGACACCAAGGCCAAGTCTCCCCTGGCCCTGGCTCTTTCATCCCCGTTCCTCTGCCACCACTTGAAGCCCCTCGGAGGGAGGGAGTGGGAGCTACCTGGGGACAAGGGACGCTCTCTGCAGAGGAGAGGACACAGCTCAGGGAGGGCTGAGGGCACACGTGGTGAGGAGCCCGCGGGGCAAGGCCACTGCCTCACGCATCACCTGCCCCCACCCTAGTAGGGCACCCTGCCCTACTCTACCCAGCTGCCTTGCTGTGCTACAGCCTCCCCTGGAGCTCCCACAGCCTCTGCCTTCAGCACCTGGACACGGGCTGGACCCACCCCCGTTTCAGCAAAGGCAGCTTGCTGTCATGGGGGCATCGCAGCGCGCCCAGGACAGCTCCTGCCAGGAACCCCACTGGCTCTCCTCTCCCCACGCCAACATGCTGGGCGCCAACTGTGGCCAACATCCCCGTGCCTCTTCTGCCCTGGCCCCAGGGAGAAGCAGCCAGTGGCACCTACAGCCATGTGGCCAAGCCCCTCACATACTGTGTGGCCTTGGGCAGGTCACTCCACGTCTTTGGGCCTCACATGCATTCGCAGCACCTATGGGCCAGAGCTAAGAAGCCGTTGGTGGGAGATGGAGATACTACCACTATGTAATCAGCAAGAACTAAGAAGAGTTAGATACAGCCTGAATGCCCAGGGCACTGGGTAAGGACAGTGTGGTCCATCCATGCAACTAGAATCCTTGGAAGGCATTACAAGTCAAGCTACATAACGCGCGTGGGGTGAGCCCAGCATGACCCACCTGCAGGGGAAGCACGCTTCCCATTTTCTCAGACACCAAAGTCAAGGAAGCATGCTGAAGTGTTAACAGTACCCAAGTCAGAACACCAGCACTACAGGTAGATGTATTGTTCCCTTCAACAAACTGTTTCTCTTGCTACAACAAATGTAAAATCGTACTGAAATTACACACAGAGCTCTGAAAGAAAAATAAAGCTTAAAAAACAAGCTCAATTCTAACTGCAAAAATTATGGAAGCCCAGGGAAGGAGATGGGCTGACTGGCGTCTCCAGGCCCCACAGGCCGACTGCCAGGTAGACCTGCAAGTGTGCAGGCATGCCCCACCCCACCCTGCACAGCCCTGCACGGCCCGTGTCCTCAGGGAAGCCCGCTCCGGTGCAAAGAAGCAGAGCACCTTTCCACTCCCTGGAGCACGATGCCACACAGCACCTCCAGCACTGCCCAAGCCAATCCCTCACTCGGGACAGGAAACAGACCAGGGAAGTCAAATACCCCGTGCGACCTCACCAAGCAGCGCAGAGCTGCAGGGGTGGCATGAAAAACACTATCGCGCTCTCTTCTATAGAAGATTTACTTATTTGAAAGGCACAGTTACAGAGAGAGAGAGATAGACCTTCCTTCTGCTGGTTCACTCCCTAGATGGTCACACTGGCCAGAGCTGGGCCAGGCTGAACCCAGGACCCTGGAACTCCATCCAGGTCTCCTACATGGGTCACAGGGGCCAAAGCACCTGGGCCATCTTCTGCTGCTTTCCCAGGCACATTCGCAGGCAGCTGGATGGGAAGTGGAGCAGCTGGGGCTGGAATCAGCACTCACGTGGGACGCCGGCCTCAAGGGCAGCAGCTTTACCCTCTATGCCAGTGCCAGCCCCTGACTTGGGCTTTCTAGCCCAGCTCTGCAGAGTGTCCTTCCTGATGTAGCCACTAGGGGGCGAGTCTGCATTTGCACAGTGCTCTCAGAAGTGAGCAAATGCAGGTAAATGATGAAAGGTTACAACCTCTGAAGGAGAGAACGAGGTGCATCCTACATTTAACCAGCCTCCCCCCCACACACACACACAAACCCCCGGCCCCAGGGAAGCACTAGTCCCACCACACTGAAAGGATCTGGCAAACACCTCAGGCTTTCCATAGGAACACAGAAGGGCTGGCTTTGGCAGGACGGATGTGAACAGGAAAAGCCAGGGAGACCCAGGCTGTGGTCTGACTCGGATGCTGAGACTGAGTCTCCGACGTGGCAGGAGAAAGAGGCCGACTCTCTCGGGGTGTGATCAACTCACAAGGGTTCTCCATCACAAATGGGATCGCTGCCCCCACCCCACCCCGCAAGAGGCTCCAGGAAGCTCCACAGCTCCCCTCCGCCCCCTGAGGACGCAGCAAGAAGGCAGCATCAGTGAAGCCGAGGCAAGCCCTCACCCTGATCTTGGAAGGCCGGCCTCCCGGTGTGAGCACTGTTCTGTTCTGTTGTTATAAATACCCAGCCCAAGGCATTTCAGTACAGCAGCCCAAGTAGTCTAAGGTGTCCACCTTATCCAAGTCTCATCATGGTTAAGCTCTCTCCCCTAAAAAAATTAGCTACCTACAACTCAATTGCCCACTCAAATAAAACAACATTTTTAAGAGAAAAGTAACAGTGGCCAGCATTGTGGAACAATGGGTTAAGGTGCCACCTGCAATGTTAGTATTCCCTATGAGTGCTGGTTCAGGTCCCAGCTGCTCCCCTTCTATTAAAAAAAAAAAAAGATTTATTTTTATTTATTTGAAAGACAGAGTTACAGAGAGAGGTAGAGACAGAGAGGGAGAGGTCTTCCATCTGCTGGTTCACTCCCTAGATGGCTGAAACGGCCGGAGCTGCACCAATCCAAAGCCAGGAGCCAGGAGCTTCTTCCGGGTCTCCCACGTGGATGCAGGGGCTCAAGGAGTTGGGCCATCTTCCACTGCTTTCCCAGGCCACAGCAGAGAGCTGGATGGGAAGAGGAGCAGCCAGGACTAGAACCAGCTAGAACTAGATGGGATGCCGGCGCTTCACGCCAGGGCTTTAACCCACTGCACCACAGCACTGGCCCCCTGCTCCACTTCTGATCTAGCTCCCTGCTAATGTACCTAGGAAAGCAGCAGAGGATGGTCCAAGTGCTTGGGCTCCTGCACCCACATGGGAGACCTGGATGAGACTCCTGTCTCCTGGCTTTGGCCTAGCCCAGCCACAGTTGTTGCAGCCATTTGGGGAGGGATCCAGTGGATGGAGTATCTCTCTCTCTCTCTCTCTCCCTCACTCTATCTCCTCCTCCAATCCCCTCCTCCATCACAGTCTTTCCAATAAAAAAAAATAGATCTTTAAAAAAGACAGAGGGAGGGAGGGAGGGAGGGAGGGAGAGAGAGAGGGGAACAGAATCCGGGAGTCTCTGCAACTTGCTATCTATGATGAACCCTGTATACAGAAGAATGAGTGATGTGAAGCAGTGAGAAATTCAAGTCATAATTAAGAGGAAAAAACTCAACAGAAACAGAGCACCAGATGACCCAGGTGTTAGATTAGCAGACAGGGCTTTAAAGCAACTCAACAAATATTACACAAGAAAAGAAAAGATGGATGCAATGGATGACTTTAAAGAAATACATGTGGCACAGCAGGTTAAACTGTCACGTGTGAGGCTAGCACCCCACACTGGAGTGCCAGTTCCAGTCCCGGCTTCTCCACTTCTGATCCCTGCTAATGTGTCTGGGAAGGCAGTGGAAGATGGCCCATGTACCTGGGTTCCTGCCAACCACATGGAGACCCAGACAGAGTTCCAGTCTCCTGGCCTCAGCCTGGCCCAGCTCTGGCCATTGCAGCCATTTGGGGAGTAAACCAGTGGATGGAAGATTTCTTTCTCCCTCTCTCTCTCCTCTCTCTCTGCTTTTCAAATAAATAAATCTTTTTAAAAAAGAGAAATACATGAAAACTGTAAAATTTAAAAATGAGAATCTTAATGCTAAAACCACAAATCTGAAATAAAAATGCACTGAGTAAGAGTAGCTGGGACACTGCAGATGGATCCATGAACCTGAACTCAGGCCAAAACCAATGATTCAAACTGAAGCACAAAGGGAAAACGGATGTGAATCAAACGAACAGCGCCAGAGCACTCCGGGGACGGCATCAGGTGCCCTGGAGTCTCGGGAGGAGAGCAGGCACAGACTCCGGCCAGTTTTCTGCAGACACCTGGCTAAAGCATGTCCTAAATCAATGAGAAACATCAGCTCACAGTTAAAGCGAGCCCACAACAGGATAAGCACAAAGAAAACCACACCTTGTCCTGCACCAGTTAAATTGCTGGAAACCAAAGACAAGAGTCAGGAAGCAGAAACACACATTTCATACCACGGAACAGCAATAAGGATGACGGCTGATTTCTCATCACAAACAGCCGAGGACAGAAGACAGGAGAACAAATAAACTGCTTGGCAACCACCAATGATACCAAACAATCTCCTCTCAGCCTAGAACTGTACAGCCAGTGAAACCTGGCCTAAAAAGTGAAGGCAGGGAGCTGTCGCTGTGCCACTGCAGGTTAAGCTGCCTTCTGCCACAACAGCATCCCACATCGGAGCACTGGTTCACATCCCGGCTGCCCCACTTCCGATCCAGCTCCTTGCTGCTGCGTCCGGGAAGGTAGTGGTCCTTGGGCCCCTGCCACCCATGGGGGAGATCAGGATGGAGTTCCTGGTTCCTGGCTTCAGCCTGGCTCAGCCCTGGATGGTGCCACTGTTTGGGAAGTTAACCAGCGGGTTGAAGATCTGTCTCTCCCTCTCTGTCACTCTGCCTTTCAAATAAATAAATGCATCTTTTAAAAAATGAAGGCAAAATAAAAGCATTTTCAGATGGGGAAAGGCCACATAATTTGTCAACATGATGAGAGATGCTGTAGGTTAAAGGGCGATTTTATTTTATTTTTTAAAGATTTATTTATTTATTTGAGTTAGAGAGAGAGAGAGAGAGGTCCTCCATCTGCTGGTTCACTCTCCAATTGGCCGCAATGGCCGAAGCTGTGCCAATCCAAAGCCAGGAGCTTCTTCTGGGTCTCCCATGCGGGTGCAGGGGCCCAAGCACTTGGGCCATCTTCCACTGCTTTCCCAGGCACATTGACATGGAGCTGGATCGGAACTGGAGC